CTCCTTTTGGAAAAGTCTGTGTTGACTGAGTTCACCATCTCAGTCAATGGAAACAGGCACTTCCAGGACGCAATTCTGTCCACCCTGGCAGAAGTTTAAAGATAGACTGATTGAATTGGAGGTCTCTTAACCTCAGAGACAGCTAAAAGAATAGCTCAGACTGAACTACCTTAAACTAACCATGAGCTGCCAACAGTGGGGAAATTAATCCCAGCCACAGTGTGCACAGCAAAGCCAAAGAAATATTTCCACATCGTTGCCTTTCCTAGATGTTATGCTGAGTCTAGGTTTCCAGCTGATGTAAATCCAGCTGATTTAAATTATCATGACACTATGGACTTAAACCATCCAACAGAGTGGCCAAGTGTTTATAAGCTAATGCTGGGTGTTTTTCTAGGTCAGCATAGTTTTAAGGAATTGAAATTAAGAGGGAAATGACCCATTTCTAGTCTCTGACCTAAAAGGCATTATAACCTGATACACACAGGAATAAATGTTGATGGAGAATAGTTGAAAATATACCTGCTACTAAATATAGAAATGCTTCCAGCTCTTGCGAATATTATTTGTATTGTTTGAAGGTGTGTGGCTTTTAAAGTAAAGTTGAGTTTGGAAAAAAAGAAGAGGTGGCTGTGAGTGATTCAGACAGAAATGTGGTTGTGGGACTAGAGGGGTCAATTAAGAAGAAAGAGTAGAGGCTAACAGGAAAATAAGTACTTTTAGACATCTTAACTTTTCATGGTTGAAGATGTGAAAGTGAATGAAGTCTCTGTATGTGTCCTGGATGGAGAAGGCAGCAGGTGACCAGAATGCAGCACATCTGCAGGAAACAGAGCACACTTGTCTACAGGTTACAGGACAACTCCTTGGTCTTATAAGCCTAAACTGATCTCTTTATTCAATGCAGGGATATTATATCCACATATGAATGGATTTTTAGGGTCAGTGGAGAATATCCTGAGCATGTGCTCTACATGTCCCTGCTTGAGCAGGAAGGTTGGACTAGATGATCTCTGAGGTCCCTTGCAATCTCAACCATGCTGTGATGTATTTGAACTCTTCCAACAAAGGCTAAAAATGTCCACCCAGTAACTCCTGCACTGGGGCCAATGGTCTCTGGTTGAGCAAGAATCTGCCTTTGAGAAAGTTATCCCCCTTATTCCAGTCCTTAATGCTTCAGAGGAGGAAGTTCCTTTGAATAGACAAAATGTTATCTGTCCTGTTGTGATATTTATCCAGAGCTTAAAAATTATGAAGGACAAGGGAAATAATCAGTGCAGATGGTAAATAAAAAAAAAAAAAAAAAAAAAAAAGTGTTCTTCTCTGACCATTGTACCTTCAACCAGTATGCACAAAGTGGGAGCTCCAGTCAGCTGCATTTTTCCTTCTAGCTTAAATGTTAGCTATCATGACTAATGCCAATCTGGAAACATATTGACACTCTGACATGTATAGGTTTTTAGGAGGGAAAGGTAAAATTCCCAGTGTAAAGTGAAAAATAATAAACTCACTGCTGTGGCTACAAGGTGTGCCACGTAGAGCAACTCCAGGAGCCTAAGCCATTTGTGCTTTTTTGTGCTTCAGTTTTTTCTTACTGCTTCACCAAATGCTGATGAACCAGTAGCATAAAAAGAGAGATTTCTAGTGGTGTTTTAGCTCTGTGCATCAAGCTGTCCAAGCAAACCAGAGACAGATGCCTACTGTTTATTAAGCACCACTATGAAGTGATTCGATTCAGAGCAGCAATGTTCTGGCGTGGGGGATGGAGAGAGACATGAAATGTTTTCTGTTAATTTATTTGGCAGCAGGGGAGACTGGTAGAAACCAATTTATAAATTCTGTAGGTATCCAATCTATTTTTGTCATCTGGACAACTAAAAGCTGTAAATATAAAATAACGTTGCTCCGACAGTGAGCTATGCTTCCTTTGCCATTATTCTGAGCAGCCAGGAGCTTTGCTGACATGAGAGAGTTATACAGGTTCCTCAAATGAGGAGTGCAGCAAGCCACCGTTACCACAAGGCATGCAATTTTTCTTTTTTCCCTTTGGTTCTGTATATGTAACAATTTTTTAAGCAGTCATTTTGGTCGAAATAAACTAGAAAAGGGCAAAGGACAGCAGAAGCATCGCTCTTGTCTCTAGATGAATTCCAACATATGCTGGGAGCACGTGAGATAAAAATTTCCAGCTAGCATAAGTCTCCACACATATCTTGTAAGACACTCTGGCTTTTGTTTCATCTCCCTCTAAAAGTTTTTTGGGGGACAAGGAGACCCATGAACCAACCGCCCACTACCTGTTGGCAATTATCCAGGACAAGTTTGTGACAAGTTGTCAACTGTCTCTAAATCTTAGACCTTTTATGGCACCCTTTAAGGTGGTATTTTAGCTCATCAGTGTCTTCGTATGTACTTTATGTATGCAGGATTCAGTTAAAGAGAAGGAAGGTATCTAGCATGGGGCCTCTCAGGAAGCCTCACCGGGAACAAGGAGCTGGATTCATTCTTTACAAGTGTCCTGAAGAAAGGAGATCCCTTCATTTCTCTTTCCCACACGTTCAGTAACCTAATATAAACCACAGCAGTTGTTCACTTCCTTTTTCCTCCAAGCAAAAAGAAGCCACAGAGGAAAAAACTCTATTCTGGTAGTTCTGTAAGAGAGACCACTGCTAAGCAAAAGAATAGCTGCAACCAGAAAATGCTGATTCCTGAGATTCCTCAGTGCTCCAACCAGTACATTGGTGGTATGGCAAGTCATTATTTAGGCGAACGAGGGCAATCTGCATTAGAGCATCAAATGGGAGAACTATACCTGCTCTGTGTTGGTCTGGTGGAAGAGAGAAACTTGAAAAGAATACAAGGAAAAGGAGATATTAGCCCCATATCTTGTCAGTACCGAAGCCAGTGCTTGAGCAGTGGACTATGATCAGAGCCACCATGATGCACTCAAGACTGTGCAAGAAGGAAGAATTGAATCCTTTCTTTTCTGCCTTCTCCCGCAGATGTGGTAACGATCCAGGAGCGTGTGGCTGTCATTCAGGGGAGTTACTTTTCCCCAAGAGCTTTAATGTAATTTTCAGGCAAATGGTTTCCTAGCCCCCCTTTCTTTCATTTCTTAAATATATGTGTTTTCTCCAGAGGCAAGGTTAATACACCTCTGAAACAGAACTGGATGTGATTCAGCCCAGTTAAAACCAATCAGATCCTTTAGATTTGAGGTTTATGTGCTGCATTTAAGTGATCTGCTAATGAACATGAACTAAAACATAGAGTGATGCTAGTCACAGGGAATTCACTGACATCCATTCGCTTTGATTATTTTCTTTCTCTTCTCTGTTGGTACCAACATTATCTGACAAAAGGGGGTATTTTTAACTTGTTTGAGGATTTTTTTAATCAACAACATTATTGACTTATTATTGCTTTGTGGAGAGAGATTGAATAGTAAAAGCTTCTTCTATGCACAAAATATACAGTAACTATTGGAATTAACATCACAGATGCTAGGGAAGTGTGGGAACAAGGAGAGGTTCCCAGGTTGCTGTTGGCTCCAGATGTCCCCACATCCACTCCATCAGAGTCCACTTGTCTCTGTGGCCTGGTGAGAGGGACTTAGGGTTGGGTCTGGTGAGTGTTGAGTTTCTAAAAGAGGATTAATGTATGGGTTAGACCTTTGAAGTTTGTCCATAGAGCATGAAAAAGTTGCTTCCTGCTTTTTTGGTGGATCCTGGCACCCAGAGAGACTTCACTTTCTTCAGTGTTCTCTGAGTAAGGTGAGGGGTTTGATGGTGCTTGATGGTGACAGCCCTGAGGAGCGTCACAGTAAAAGGGATCTTAAGCATTTTGCAGCCAACAAATATACAGAAGCAAGGAGCATGGAGCAGAGATTACATGCACCTGGTAAAGCATTAAGGAAGCATTGACTTAAAGTGTTCACTTTTCAGAAGATAATTTAGCTCTTTAAAAGAAAAGAAAAAGTGACCTTGTGATCAATGCACTAAAGTAGGCTCAGGAGACAAGCTAAAAATCTAATTGCTTCCACAGTTCTTATGACTGTGATTCATCTGATCTAACTTTAGCTACCTGTAAGTTAAGTATTTAATCTATGCTAGTTATTCAAGATCCTCTATGAGAGAGACACATTTCTAGTTCATCCAAACTGTCTTACGGGATAGATTTAAGGAGCCTTATTGCTTTCCTATGCTGGAGAGTGAGGCTCTCTATCTTCTTGAACCACATCGTTTTGTGGATTCATCTCATCCATCTTCAACATTACCTTGGCATAACAGCTATGATGACCTGAGCCTCAGCGTCCCCTCTGGGACAGAGTTTTGAGAGATGTATCATGTGTGGGGTGCATCTACATGAGTAGTTACAAACATAGGCTGAAAACATAATCGAAAACATGGACTAAAACATAGGACTAAAGCCAAATCAAACTAGACCAAATATAGACTGGAACTCTGAAGCAAAATGGATAATAATTATATTTTGTGTTTTGTTGGTCGTATTTCTTTTTGTAAGCTTCAAAGGTTTACATTATATTCATACGGTGCCCTGCAGTGTCTCACTTAGAAATTTTAATTCAAATCTCACTTAGCAGACTTGAGCACAGAAGAAAAAAGTTGTGTAACAACATTAATATGAGTAGCTTCCCCTCTCTGCTCCACAGTGGCAGTATTGAAGAAATGGCAATATCTCAATTCACTTAGTTAGCAGATCAACCTGGGTTGATTGACCTTTGAGAAAGTGCCTGGTCTCACACTTACCATTTCTGTATTACATTGCAAGGAATAGCGCAGTGCTAAATTTTGTCATCTGATCTTTAAAGGTGAAGATTCATCCACACTATCATTTTAGTAGTCATTTTAATAATTTATTGAATAAGGTTTTTTTCTTCTAGAGAGCCCTATTGCATCCAGCATTATTGTAAGCTATTTTGTGTTCAGTTAAAATAAGCAAAACATTATCTTAATTTTGCCTCTTTTTTTCTCTTTTAGTGGCTGCATCAACTGCTAATTCCACAGCTGGTGCAGCCATGAATTCTTTGACTTCTCTGGGTACTCTCCAAGGATTGGCTGGAGCCACTGTTGGATTGAATAATATTAATGCACTAGCAGGTACCGTAAACAGTGAGTATTTATTGCTGTGGTGGACAGCCTTCCCCAATTATCATGCCATAAAAAACTATCAATTGTAAAGTGAAGATATGATTATTTTTAATCTGTGTGAAAAATAAGGGGGTCAAGTTGATCTAGTTCCACTCATGGTGCATATGCAGTTCTGGAGTCTTTAAAGTTTCTCATGGCTTCCACTGCAAAGTGAAGTCTCTTGGTTCCCTGCGAAAAGACTCCTTTTCTTGCAGGGCAAATGAAAGGTAAAAGGAAAGTCAGTAGGAATTCTGGTTATTTAGATTATAGGAGAGGCTTCTTTTCCATTTAGGGAGTCTGAGAGCAGTAATAATACCTCGCCATACAAAGCACACTCAAAATTGCAATGATAAGAGATGCATGTCTGCTATAGAGACAGTTCTTTTCAGGTATGTTTAGGTATTATCAAATTGAGTTGAGAGCAATATACCTGCCTTAAAAGTAAAGGCAGCTCTTTGTCATTTTAATTGGCAAGTGTGAGAGAACAGTCAGTCACCTGTAATACCAGACCACGGGCATCTGTCCTATGACATCTCAAACAAACCCTGACATCTCCAGCTAAATAGATGGTGGCAGTTGTGGGAATGTTCTTCCTTGTTCTTAATCTTGGTCAAGATTTTTCTGAAAAGCAGTGATCCTCTCTATTGTGTTTCTGTTATGACGACTTCACCTTTGCCTGCAATGGAAGAGATTTTTCCAGCTGCATTTTCTTTTTCTTAGCCGCTGTTGTTCCTTGCATTTCCTTCTGCAATGCAAGGAATCTCCTTGGTCATTGGCAGTCTCATGAACCACTATAATGTACCCCCAGGAATGGATGTCCTCCTCAGTATCACTTGCTCACTCTGATGCTCTGCATGATGTCCTTTCTGTCAGTGTGGTTTGGCTGGTCACTCAGTCGTTTTGTTCTGTGATATCTGGTTGTCATTGTTGGAAGTGGGGACAGAAGGGGGTTAACGGATGTCCTTGTAGCAATGGTGACTGATTGCATGGGGCCTTGTGTAAAACAGATCTTGCTTCTGGCAAGGACATGTGTCTTTCACATGAACAACCTCACAGTAAATATGGCTCAAGAACACAGTTTAAGAAAAGTAAGTATATTAAGTCCCCAAATGGCCAATGTCAGGTTCTTTTCGTATGCTTACATGTTATTTAAGCAAGCCACTGAAAATGGCATGCAAGGAAAGCTAATTATGTACCCTCATGAGTACTCTCAGTGATAAACCTTGTCATGAGTAAGAAATCATTAGATGTTTTTTCCCTGATGAACAGTCATGTTTTATAAACCATGTTTTTCATGGTTTATAAGCAGTCACAGTACCAAGAACAGAGTATGGCATGCCACAGTACTAAGCACTCAAGCACCTTAAAGCACCACAAGATAACATCCCCTCCATCAAGACTGACCAAAAATAAGTCACCTGTGAGCTCTTCACTTGTTATGGGAATGCTTGTTACACTCCTTTTAGCACTTCTCACTAGGTTACAAGCAAAGATTTCAGATGACACATGTGCAAACTTATCCGCCCATGCAGTTTGAAGCATTAGTGATGTATTCACAACCTACTGCCAAACTCTGGCTTGTTTTAGGCCACAGTGATTTCCATGGTTTGTACCAGCAATGATTTTAGTCCCAAATCTTGTCCTTGGATTAGTTCCAAATCTTGTTCATGGATATTTTTATAGGCACAGAGAGTATATATGCCTAGAATTCCATGTTTCTATGTAAGATACATAAAATGTATGTGGGTATGTCTGGCTATATATATATACAGGTATACATACATTTGTGAAAGAGGGAAGCTTCCTCATATGCTGTGCTGTGGCCCCTGTTTCTCTCAGAAGGGTGACACTGATTATCAATTTCAGGCACTTGTCATGCTAATGACAGCCAAACATTGTCCAGATTATAACAAGAAACTTCCTCTGCCTATTTTAATGATGACTTGAGCTTAGAGACCCTTTCTGATCCAGCTCAGACCTCTCTAGGATTCACAGATCTCGTATGCAAAGAGCCTGCTGTTTCACCGTACGATGTGGTCACAAGAAATCCAATAAAAGCACTATTTTGTCGTGAAGGTCACTGAAGTCATTGTGCAGCAAAGCTGGAACTTAGTGATGTGCTTTTAGTTGTAAGAAGATGCATAACTTTAGATGCCTGAAGGCCTTAAAGAAAATGGAGGATGGTAAGTTTAGCTGTCTCCAGGGATACAGCAACAGTTGTGCACAGCTTTGGGGATTCACAGTTTTGTGGTGGCCCAGTCTTCCCTCAGCTGTGCTTGAAGCATCTAAACCCTTAAATAACAGAACATTAGAAATGAGAAAGCTCCTTTGGGGAGATAAATTTAAATAATGTAACTAACAAAAAATATATGAATGATGATGAAAAGCGAATAAAGAGGAAGAAAAAAGTTCTTTGCAATTTAGAGAGAAGGATTTAGAGATTCAAGATATTGGACAACTATGGCGAAATGTATGTGACCCCCAGCTGTCCAGCTGGCATTTCTGCCCCAGTGTTTGCGTGTGTAAAACAGAGATAAAAGTGTTTGTGACAGATTTGAAAGTGCTTGGAAAGCACATCGAGAGACCTTTGTAGTTACTAAGCATTGTCACTTCTGTATTATATAGAATAACGCAAAAAAAAAAAAAAGAAAAAAAAGAAAAGTTAGAAGGCCACACATGAGAGCATCGGCTAGAATAGTTATTCCCTAGAAGTGAGCAAGGGATCAGAGTTCAATGAGGCTGTGATGCGCTGGTAGAGATGACACAGAGACACAAGGAGGTGGAAGTGCAGTCGGCCCTTGAAGATTTTGTTAAAAAAATACAAAAAGGCAGAATAAAGCGAATGCCGGAGACTTTCTGCCGAGCTGTTTTGCTGAGAAGGGAGAGGTGCCAGTACCCTTGTGGATGCAGAGTGGTGAGCCCGGCTGTCCCTTTGCTGACCTGAAATCGTGCGGTGGTAGAAGCTATTGATCATAGGCGAAAGCACCCACAGCAGCACAAAACATGTCTATCTATAGGCCAATGACTGACAAAAGATAACATGTTATCCTAATACTTTCTCCATTATCAGTTTTTGCAATGCTATAGTAAAGGAAGAGACACACACTTTTTATCCAGAGCCTTTACTTGAACCAGTGCTGTATGCACGTCCATGCAAGCAATGGCACAAACCTTAATGCAGAAACATCAGAGTGGATTAAGGTAGGGCTCAGTATTGAACTGCTGCATTATCACTATCGCTTGAGCCATCGTTTTCAAAATGCCCAGACTTTTAGAAATGAGATATTCACAGATTGCATATTGGTTTCTCAGTTTTTATTTTGAAACTGGGGATGTTATGCCACAAACAGTGACTTTCTTGTGCTCTGATGCAGGGTGGTGTTCAAAGCACTGTCATCTCCTGTGGGGAAACAGCAATGTTGTAAAGTGGGGCAGAGGGGAAGGTGAAATCTTCAAAGTTCAAGACACTTTATTTAGCAAAGGCTAAGAATACCAAATCTCTGTCGAGTGTTTAGTTACACAAATTATAGCAATATCAAAAGGTGTAATTTATGCAGTAGAGTCCACTTAATTGGCACAGACTGGGGTGGAACCAGAAAGGTGCCACTTGAGCAATTGTCCTGATTATCAGAGACTCATAGGAATACACTTTTTGAATAAGAGGTGGAAGAAAACCAGTAGGTCAGCATCTTTATCCTCCTCTGTCAACGCAGGATAATTCCCAGCAGTTTGCTTTCTGTTTCTAAATTACTCATGTGGTAAGGTTGCTGCCACTCTCCTTGAGGAGGATTGTTTCCCAGTCTAATAGATCTCCTTGTTAATTCACTCTAAAGTGTCTGCTCCTAAATTTCTTCACTTTCCTCCAAATTACATATAACCCATTATTATTGCTCTGAAATTAGTCTTTTTCTTTCTAATGTTGATAACCTTTGGCTCCTTAGTGTGGCCCCACCAACCCCCTCTTTACCCATCATTTTGCCAACACAGAGGCTACACTTGATAGCCAGTACCTAAGCAATGGTCACTGGAGGTTCTGGATTTTTCCGGCAACTGATTTTCAGCACTTTGAGCAGTCTAATGAAGACCTCGTAAGCTGTTTGTGAACCGTTCGACCAAAAATAGGGAAACATGGGATGCCAGTCACACAGAAAATACAGCACAATTCTTGGACCTATTGAGCAGTGATCACTCCTGTAGCATCAGTGAGAGCTGTAGGAGATAAGCAGGTCTCTGAAGTTGAGCACCTTGTCCATTGCTAAAGGGACTGTCTGCAGAAAATTCACATTTTCTGGAGTTTCTGGGGAAAAAAAAAAAAAAGGTCATAACATTTTTCACTTTCATGTGGCTCGTTTAGGAACCACACCAAGGATTCACACTGAGGAGCCTGCCAACCATTGCAAAACTGCCTTTGCCAGCCACACCGCTTACATGCCCAAGGGATGCCTTTTTTTGCACAGCTAGTGACCTTGTCTGAAATTCCTTCTTGGGCATTCGTCACAATTAAAATAATCTGCTATTTATCAGTAGAATTGCTTCAAATAATAATAATAAAAAGAAGTGGCTTTGCTTGCGGTGAGGAGGAATTCCCATAATTTTCATGAGAGCTGTTCACAAATGCAACTAATGCAATAAACCATCATTCTCCACTAACTTTGCACCATCTGCTAATTCGTTGTGATGCTAAAGACATTGGCCAAAATGCCTAATGCCCATTTTTTGTCTAGACTCTGCTCTTTCCTGCGGCCCTGCTTGCAGGGCTGAGGGTCAAGCGATGCCCACTCTCCTGATTTCGGGCACCTGGCGCCGTGTAGGCAGGAGCCCGGGCGCTGCCCGAGGTGGGGCAGGAGGCTTTCGGAGCGCTGGGACTTGCCAGGAGCAGGCTGCATGCGAGTGGGCTTGTCCGACCGTTGCACCACCGTCGTGTCTCGGCACCTCTGGGTGAAGCGCTCGCCTGCATGCGTGGCCGTCGGCGGCGTCGCGTGGAAGCGGCGACTTTCGGAGAGCACTAATGAACAAGTGCAATTTCTTCTCTCTATTGTTGGGTTTTTTGTAAAGTTGCTCAAATGCTCTCAGGTATGGCGGCCCTGAACGGCGGACTCGGCGCCACCGGCTTGACGAACGGCACGGCCGGCACCATGGACGCGCTCACCCAGGCCTACTCAGGAATCCAGCAGTACGCGGCCGCCGCGCTGCCCACCTTGTACAGCCAGAGCTTGCTACAGCAGCAGAGCGCGGCCGGCAGCCAGAAGGAAGGTAAGCAGCCCCGACGCGCGATGAGCAACGCTTGGCCAAGTCAATGCAGTGGTTGGAGCTTCCTTCTTCATGGAGCGGATGGTCCTCAGTGAAAGACTCTAGGAGGCTTCACCTTCCCTACATCTCTCCTTTCCCATTTTAACCCCCAAATTAATTCAATTTTTTGTCCTCATGATGTATTTTGCTGCTCCATCTTTGCTATCTGCAAGCAGCTGCAGATGGTCCATGGTGAAGAACCTCGGTTATACTCATCTTTCATTCCTAACATCTTTCCCATTTTAACCCCCAACTTAATTCACTTTTTTTGCCCTCACAATGTGTTTTACTGCCTCATCTTTGCCATCGACAAGTGGCTGCCACTTGTAAAAAGGCACAGGATTGTTTCTGCTTCCCTTCCAAAATTCTAGGAGGACTGCAGGCTTTCTAAGATTGCATCTGTGTTACCATTACAGCTCTTGCCAGGGATAAGCTTTGGAAATAAACCTACTGTGAGATCCTCGAGAGAAATATTTTCGTTCTCTTTTAAAGTAATATCTTGTGCTATTATGGGCTGCAATGTTTCCTAGGAAGACAAAGTTGGCATTCCCCCAGCTGGCTGTTACATATATAAAGACACTGTGGGGTTAAAATGCATATTTTTCTCTAAATTCATTACCTGATTTACTGCTAGCAATTTAGACTATTTAAACTGAAAGGATTTTTTTAATCTCTTATTTTTCTCCTTATTTTGATGCTCTGCTTTTATCTTTACTGCGCTCACTTTGCCCAGTAACAACAGACTATTTGAAACCAAATTTTTTTTTGGTGTCATTGTAAAACATTTTATATATATATATATTTTAGTTTATGAACATTCATATTAAGTGTGTTTTTTTTATTTTTTAGTGTAGTGTCTCTTGGAATAGATTTTTTGTCATATGTTGTTTTTTTGGTAAAAAGTGAATAAATTTCACCGTTAGATACAGACAGCCATATTTTGTCTCTTAATATATGATTTCTGATGAACTAGTGAAGAGTTCAATTTCTCTTGCCTGATTTCCAGTTGGAAAGCTTTGTTTTGTCTCACCTTTTTCCCTCCTGTCACAGCCAACATCCTGCCCCTCTAGTTTCAATCTCTGCTGTTCAAATCTGACCCCAGCTCCTTGCGTTTCCATATGTGCTCCCAGATGGAATCAATTCCCAAAACCCCTGGGGCTGTGTAAGGCAGTTTGTGGGGTGCTGAGTGAGGGTAATACCTTGTGTACCTGCTTTCAAACCCTAATCACACCCAAAGACACTTGTGCAAATTGAAGAGAGAGGCTGCACTTTAACTTCTTTTGTAGTAGACATAGCAAGTAAACACTTTGTGAGGTAGGATGCTCTTAAGAGCTGCATTTCAACTCTGTTCTTTTGATAATCCACTTTTCTTCCTTCAAAGTCAGGAAGTGGAGTGCTTTTTTTGACCATCTCCTTCGGTGTTATGGAAAAAAATAAATTAAATTGTAATAGCTGCTTTCATACTTTCTTTGTTTTCCTAAAGGTCCAGAAGGGGCAAACCTCTTTATTTACCACCTCCCCCAGGAGTTTGGAGACCAGGACATTCTGCAGATGTTCATGCCTTTTGGAAATGTTATCTCTGCTAAAGTCTTCATTGACAAACAGACCAATCTGAGCAAGTGCTTTGGTATGTCAAATTTAATAAATAGCAAAAACACATGCATTGCACTGAAAAGGGGCTGGGCGGGGAAATTAATGACAATGTGAGAAATGTCATTCTGGCATTTCATTCCCAATGTAATGGAATTGTAATCCTCAAATGAATGGGAAGATCCAGAGACAAGCTAGTTGTAACTAAAAACTGGATATGAAAAAACAATAATAATCTTCCAGTTTGACATCTCGCATGAGTGTGTCAAGCACAGGAAACTAATTACACCCTATGTGGAGGAATGTCATTTAGTATACTATTAAGCTGCCTTATTATGAATACCTAATTATTCTCCATTGTATAGCTGAGCCACTTTAAAATGCTCCATGTTTAACCCATTACTTCTACATTGCAGGAATTTCTTTCTTTTGAAATAAGTACAAGATTGTGCAATTAGTGCTTGAGTGAGATGTACCCATAGTTCACAACCTTTTATAGACAGTTGGTGTCTAGCTACGTAGCTACAGCAGTTGCAGAAGAGTCCAGTGAATCACAAAAGACAGCACCTCGCCTTGCCATAGGGTAGGGATGAAGGTAGTCTCGTACATCTAGTGCCAAGTTTCCCAGAGGATGCTTGGAGCTGCCAGGAAATGAGATGGGAATATGATGCATTGACATAAATCAAGTTCTAGGGTTTGTTAAATGGAGTGATGCCTTCCAAGTAACATAGGTTAGCTTGCATATCACTAGTTCTTTAAAATCTAGGTTCTTCTAAAATGTGGCTTATCTACACAAGGATCATTCAAGAAGACCTATTGTGCTTTAAGTGGTTTAAATTTATCTAGACAGTCAGGACCAATAATGATTCATATATTTTACTAAAAGACAAGAGAAAGGGCACTGCATTGTTTTTTCAATTCTGCATGTACTTGCAGGCCCTTTCTGACAAATTCCATCTGTTCAGGCTTTTCAAAAATTGGTGATCTTTATTATGGTCCCGTACATTTCTGCAATGGGTGAGGCTTTTCAAAAATTGGTGATCTTTAGTTTAATATGGTCCCGTACATTTCTGCAATGGGTTAAAGCACTCCAGGGGACTGTGGCAAAGTTGAAAAGTGAAGTTGGAAGGGGATCCCCATTGATCTGCAACCAGTTGAGTCTATATGCTGGGGTGATAAAATGATTGTTGAAGTATTCGGGAATCTTGACAAAATACCAAATCAAGCTGTGGTCATCACAGCTGCTGCCTTTTGATTAATTCTGAAAGAACATAGATGAGTTTGGGCAAGGAGCTCACTTCCAACACTTGGTTTTGGTGGGTTTCCTTGTGCTCTTTGATTACCTATGTCTTTGATTATCTTTGTCTTGATTTATCGGATACAATTATCTAACTTAGCATGAAGCATTGGGTTTTACCTGAGGGAACATTAATACCCAAAGGATAGAGGAGTCTTCTGCCTTTTTGGCATTAATCAGGTTTCACTAACATTTACATTTCTCATCCTTCCTCCTCAGATATTGTGCCACCAGTGTTCAGCTTTAAAAACAAAAAGTACTGCAGTGGCAGAAGAAATTGAGATTTTTTGATTCAGTAGATGACCACCTGGGTCATCCTGCTAATCACAGGTGAAGCCAGCATGAATCCTGCTGGTTTAACATACTGTCCTATGTATGTATCTTCTCTGCTTTAGTAGCAAGAATGGTCTATTTGTTGTGTTGGCTCCATGACAATAATAATACAGACCTTTTCCCATGGACATACTTTTCCATTAGCTCTCCTAAACTCTCGTTGATTTAGCAGTCAAAGGGTTTCACTCTTTGAACTTCTTCTTTCCTGTCATAGATCCTGGAATAACAGAAGTGAGGGTGTGTAAAAGTAAGGCAAGGGAGGGGGGACCCAGTGACATCGATGCAAAAATTACTCATGATAAAAAATAGTTATCCTGGATATAGAAGTACTTAGAACAAAGATCAGATCGTCATGACAGGGTATCATCATGACAAGTTCTTTGAAATTTGATAAGAAACATCATCCCTTCCAAATGCAGTAGTTTAAATTTCAGCCAAAAATGATGAATGGATGCAATTAGAAAAAAAAAAGAATAAGTAAATAAATAAATACATAAATAAAGAGAATGCCAGATTCCTCCTTAAGTCTTATAAATGGAGGTTCTTAGTAAGGGGCAAGATGCAAGGGTAGCAGGCTAAGGCACAGGGTTCTGTATGTACAGACAAACTCTGGGTGAGAAAGGCCGTGCACCTGAATTTGTGTCCGAGTCAAGGAAGCTAATACAGAGATGCAGAATGAGGTGGCTTATCTCTGCCCTCTGGGAGGGAAGCATAGCCTAAGCTAATTATTCCTCTGTCATTAGTGGAGGTGTCTAAATTGCTTAGGTGAGTGGTAGGTGGAAAAAAACCTCTGAATGTGCCCACTCCCTTTCATTGACTTACAGGTGCCGCCTAAGTGACTAGGTTAGATCAGATGGTTAACTTTGAGAAACTAGTGAAGATGACAAGTGGTGATAATAGAAAACCATATAATAGAAAACCAATAGGATAAGTTTATAATAGAAAACCATTTTGTATGAACTTTAGAGAACAACGTGAAGGTCAGGAAGGCTGTAGAGGAAAAATCTGAGTTGTCAAGATAGTTAACACTGCTATGCCTTGATTGTGGAGCATCTGCCTGGAAAATGCTGCACTTCCCTTTCAGCTCATGGTAGATGTATTTTCTACCTGCAAGGAAGCCCCAGCAATAGAGGTTGAGATCTATGTGTTGATGGAGGTAGACAGAGGAGTGCAGTATTGCACTCTTGCAGCAATTAAAGTCATGTGAATGGGCAAGATCTCCTAGAAGAAGGCAGGTGAGGAGAAAGGAGGAGAGCAGGGAAGTTCTTCAGAATATGGAAATAGGACGAAATGATTGCGAGAAGAAAGTGAGGAGGTGACGAGAGTGACCAAAACCAAGGAAGGTATGAAGTAACACTTCTTAAACCTTGAAGAGCCTAGGAATAATCAACTACAGAAGAACAGGGAGAGAGCACATGAGCAGAAAGCTTTCCGAGACTTGAGTGAGAGGTGTTTTTGAGTGGAAGGAGCAGAAGTTAGGCTGAATTGACAGAGACAACTCTTAGGTGCATAGGTTGGTGATGCTGATATAACGTGAAGAGTAGATATGTGAGGGAAGAAGAGAAGCCAAGGTGCCAAATGGCTTGGTAGGGGCTTTTATTCTTTACAATGGGGAAAGTGTATTATTTGACACCAAGCTGGAATAGGGCAGCAGTGTGAGATAAACAAAAGCCATAAAAGAAAAGTTAAAAATGATAGTAAAAAAAAAATGAGGTTAAGAATCAGAAAAGGGTGAAGACACTAAGTACAAATGAAGAAGAGAAGAACAAATGAAGGTAGAAGAGAGGAGCAGAGAAGCATCCACATCAGTGCAGAAAACAGTGTGTGGGATCCGGGCTTTAACAGAGTCAAGGGACCTGTGGTAGGGAAGATTCAAGTGGAGAGACCGGGGAGCGTTTCCAAGCAGATGCACAATAGCTGCAATAGAGCAGCAATTAGAGCAGAGGCAGAGCAGTGATTAGAACAGCTTTACAGTTACAAGTGGGAAGCCCAAATATGAAAATGAAATTTGATCTTCCAGAATCAGGGAGGGTTTGATTCCATTATGAACAGAGAGTTTTTAGTCTCTGAGGGGGAAAAGTAAGATGAGTTGAGTTATCCCCTGGCAAGAGTTGTCCCCATCGTTGGTGCTCAGGGCTGAAGAGCTGGAAATCTGGAGCTCTCATCAAGCCCTGCCACTGTCTTTATGATGTTGCTTAATTTTGACATTTACACACCCCGTTAGGGAGCAGGAGGCTGCATTAATTAACATTTAATGCACCTTGAGATCTTGAATAGGAAGAAGCTGAAGAAATACTAATATTGCACTTGTCCTAGGCCAAGTCTGACGGGACGAGGGCGTCATGTCACACAGGACCAGCGCATGTGAACCAATGCTGGGAGGTGTAAAACGCTTAGGAGCATCCAAGTTGGGCTGTTGTGTCTTAAACCAGGCTTTCCTTTCAGCTTCCCATCTGCCTGGCCTAATAGCAGTTGCAAATAGGCTGGGAGGTAGGTAAATGTTACGGTGACCAGTGCAACTCTAATAAGGTCTTCAGACCAAAGGTAGGTAGATCAATCAGAGGTTGGGAAGCTGCAATGTGCCAAAGCCATCCACCTGCACTCCACAAGGAGAGGAATAGTGGATGAAGGTAAAGGGAAGAAAGGAGAACAGGAGAGGAAAGGTTTTAATCAGGGAACTAATTGCAATTGAGGGAAAGGCTGATATTAATGCAATCCAAAAGCCTTCAGAGATGTGCTCTAACGTGCGGTCTGCTTTCTCTCCCACCTCCGCTCTGTCTCGCAGGTTTTGTTAGCTATGACAATCCCGTCTCCGCACAAGCTGCCATCCAGGCTATGAACGGCTTTCAGATTGGCATGAAACGCTTGAAGGTTCAGCTGAAGCGCTCCAAAAATGACAGCAAACCTTACTGATCTTAACCCCAGATGCTTACTGCTCTTATTTTAGCTTTCTTAGGGTAAGTCCCATGAGCAAACCTGTCCTCTGCAGGGGGGTTAAGAAAGAACATATAGCCAACCTTCACCAAGAGACGGTTATTTTTACAGTTACCACTTCCATTTCCCCACTTGCCCTTATTAGACTTGGCTCCCGTTTCTTTGCCAAGCGGTTACTGAGTTGTGTTACTGTGTTTTGTTTTGCAGCATAATTTATCTCCTTTTTAACAAAAAAAAAAATCTTGAAATTCAAAGCAGCACACACACACACACAAAAATGTGCAATTTAACCCTGTGAACCCTGGTGCCATTAGCACATAATAATAGTTGTTTTGTACGGATGGATCCTATTTTACCAGGGTGGCACCAGCAGTTTATAGGTTAAACAAAATGGCCTCATGCCAGTCAAAGCACTTATTTTGCAACAAAAAAATAATTGAAACAAGTCTTTCCACTACATCAACTTGTTTTTGAGAAGATTTGATATTTTTCCTTTTTTTCTTTTTTTTTTTCGTTTCAGATCGACGTGTTGTTATATATTAGTCTGATTTTACACTGGTCGTCTTTATATTTCACTTTTTTTAAAGTTCTTGCGTTTTGTTTTGTTTTTTTTTTTGGAAAGTATTAATGTAAAAAAGATTTAGAGATCTGTTTCTAAAGCTACAGGGTTTAAAATAAAAAAAATAAAATAAAATGAGTGACAATACTTGATGTTTCTTGAGAGATAAATTTAATAATAATAATAAAAAAGAAAGCCACAGGCCTGTAAATTTTATTTGTAAAAAGCATTTCTATTTTTATACAAAATTTTTACTGCCTCAGAAATAATGGAAGTTATTTATTGCCTATTGTTAACTTATTGGATACCTAAAGAGCAGCTCTGTGCTAGCTAGATCCTTTGAAGTAGTCTCTAGAGTAATTGTGCCAAGAATGGGCGTTTTTTTCACTGTTGAATCCTCCACCCTTTACAGTTCACGCTTTTATCCTCCTGTTTGTATTTGTCTTGGTTATTTTGTTCGTAGTTTCCATTACCTAGTTTAAAGTTTAGTTGTCTGATCTTTTTTTTTTCTTGTTTTCCCCAATTCCATCCCTTTACCTTGCATTTGTAGAAAGCAGTTCTTTCCTCTCTTTTCTCCCCAAAGAGGAATCCGTTCTCGCTGCTCCTTGTGCAGGCGGATTCTCTTGGGACTCCATCGTGCTCGTGTTGACAAATATTGTGAGTTTAATGCAAATTATGTGAATGGCTCCTAGACTCTACTGATTAAAAAAAAAAAAGAAAAGATTTGCATTCGTTTTCTCCTGCACCTATAAAAGTGACTTTATTTTTGTTATTTTCCGTTTGTGCTGCATAGATTCTGTGTAACCTTTTTTCCTCTTCCTTGTTTTTTCCCTAGACATCTCCATAGCCCATCGTTTGCCTAGCATGTCCCTGTGGCGTCTCAAAAAAAAAAAAAAAAAAAAAAAGTTCCATCGTCCCGTCATTGTTTCTGATGTCTTTCTGACCTCACATCATGTTTGGTTCTCCTACTGACTTTTGAGCTAGTCTGACCTTTTGAGATTTGCATGTGACCTCATCTAGCTATGAAATCTGGGAAGTCAATGTGAAAAACAAAAACAAAAAACACAAACCATTGCTGCAATCATGCAAGACTGAAAATTTCTTCTTAGATAAATTAATGATAGGATTAAAAAAAAAAAACAACCTGTGGCAAAATATGGTTTTCTTTCTTTCCTTTTTTTTCAATTTTTTTTCCTTTCTTCTCTCTCTCTCTTTTTCCTTTGTTTTGTTGGGTTTTTTTCCAGTTTTCCTTTCATTTCATAAAAAATAAAAATAAAAAAAAAAACAGACTTGAAAGTATTATACAGGGATTGGCATTCTGCCTGGTCACTGGTGACAATAGCAATATGTGTCCAGAGGCACAGAATGTTGGTTTCTAACAGACTACTTCCAAAACAGTTTGAGAAATAAAAACTGTCTGATTTTAAGTCTCTAGAGGTCTGTAATAGTTTTTACATTTTTCAGGCAGTGTAAAGTTTTTTGATAAGGCCATTTTAGGTGGCTCACTTTCTCATTAAAATATATATATAGAACCACTTTTTGTAGATTAGTATAAGAAAATATTTACCCTGTTTTAGGGCAAATGCTACCTACTTGTGTCACCTTTTGCTGAACTGACTCACAGTTAGACAATCCATGGTTTAATGCACATGAAATTACCTATATTTTATACTGTTTCAATGTACAGAAGAAAGGTTACTGTAAAATGTGTTACGTTGGTGCTTCTGTGAATTAAGTTGTGGTTTCATCATGAGTCTTATGGTCTTAAGTGTTCTATGTTTATAAAGGACGAGTTTAAAATTGGTTTACTTGAACAACAGGAACAAAAAAAACAAGATTCAAAAAAACACAAAAAAGTTGTTTGCTTAAAAAAAAATACAAAAAAAAAAAGGATTTCATGTGAAAAATTAAAAACTATTCCAGAATAAGTTTGTGTTGGCTTGTGACGCATTGATGTCATTTTTTTATTGTGAACAATTTAGATGTGTTTGTGTTCAGCAAAATGTGATCGGTTTTTCTTTTAAAGAAAAAAAAAATCAGTGAAACTATAGTGCCAAATTCCAAAGGTACTTTCTTCCTAGAGCTTCAGTGTGTTTCTTGTGTGAAGTAATTTGATAACATGGGTATTTTATTATGTGTTTTGTATAAATCCCTAATATTTAAAGAAAAAAAAGAGGTTAAAAAGTTTGTTAACTTGCTATCCTGTGGTCTTGTTGCCTGAAATTGTTATTGTTTGTTATTTCTCTTTGATGTTTTTTGTAAAACATTGTACAAGTGCCCATGTTTCACTTTTTTAACCACTCTGCACACATCAATGCTGTGAAAGCAAACCTCACAATGTATTTTCTTCATATTGTATGGAAACCTCTAAGGTGAGAAAGTTTTGAACTTTTAACCCTTTCCACCCAGAGCTGTCTTGAGTGTTAATACCTTTTATACATTCACCATTTTGCTGTTTATTTTTATATATATATCTATATCTATAAATATATATATACTTAGTTTTTTGTGGTTTATTTAATACATGGTTGAAATCAGAACAATGCACAGGGCAGATCTGAAGGACAAAAAAAAATATTTTACTGCTGTCTAAATTTCTTCTGTATCTATAACTAAAATTATTTAAAACGGTAATTAACTTGTGGTTTTCCTTTTTAGATTTTGGGGATCTTTGTCTTTTCTTAAAAGAGCTTTTAATATGCTGCTGGAATATGCTATTCAGTATTAATAAAAGGAAAGAAAAAGAAAACAATTCTTTAATTATCTCTTGCGTGAGCCGCTCCCAGACCGGAGCGGTAAAACCCACCATTTGAAAATAAATAAATAAAAGAAATAAAAAAGTAAATAAATAACCCTTGATGGAAGAAGAAGAAAAAGAAGAAGAAGAAAAAAAAATTATTTTTGTAAAATTTCAAGGAATGAACTCTTTTTGCCTAAGTCAGCTGCACTAGATGTTCCCCGGGCGGCGATCTGGGCGCGCTGCAGCCCGCGCCGCTCCCCGCGGTGCCGCCTCGGGTCCCGACCCGCTTCGGGGCCCGGTGGCCGCCGAAAAAAAAATAAAAAACACAAAAAAACACAAAAAATAAAAAAACTAAAAAAAAAACCTAAAAAAACTAAAAAAAGTTTCCTTCGTATAGCACATGCACTTATAAATAAATGATCTCTACTTTTCTCACGTGTTTTTACTACTGCTGGGGCCTTCCTACACCCTTTGAGGGCTATTTTGTACTACTTGCAGCAATTTTTGCGTAGTCGAAGTTTCATCTCACGTGCGTTATATTATATATATGTACATATATATATATATATAACATGAGCTCATCATTCGGATCGTTTAGACTGTTTTCCCTGATTTCTCCTCGTCCTCCCCTCCGTATCAGATCCCTGAGGTTTTTGTTCTCTTGGGGCGGCCCTGGGGTTCGCTGGCGCCGCAGGCACCGGAGCGCTTCGCCGGGAAAAGGGCCTGCCCGGAAACCAAAAATTAAAATAAAATAGTTTAAAAAGAAAAAAAAAAGAAAAAAGACCCCATAATGATGAAAAAAATAAACTGCAACGTACCCCTGCGGGGAGGCAAATTACCCACCCGTTCTCTTCTTCAAAAATATTGAAAGGAAAAAGCTGCAAGGGTGCAAGGGCCTAATAAGAGAGGAAGAAACTAAAAAAAATAAAAGCAAATAAATAAAACAAGGGAAATTGCTTTACAAAATTCTAATCAAAAGCCTAGACTAGTTGTTTTTCCTTTTTTTTTTCAAGCAAATTAGCTAATTGCAATGAAATGGCAGTCCTCAAAGGAGTAACAAGTTCATCTTTCTTTCACCATAGGGGTTACAGTTCCTTGGCTTGTGCTACTCTGGAATCATTTTACTGTTTCTGTTTTTATTATCTTAAGTGCTAATTAACAAAAGGAAAAAAATATCCTGTAGTTTCATTACCTTTTTGGATAATGTCATACAAAACAAAACAACAAAAAAAAAGCCTATGTATTTGTGTTCTTTTTGTGCTGTGGGAATTGTTGTTTGTAGATTAAGAATACTATCATTTTGTTTAGAATTACAAACTAGTTTTTAAGTATTGTCTGAGAAAAGCCAAAGTTAATGCAATCTAGTGGAAACTGTAAGACCATTTGAGTATTGTTTCTGTTTTATTGATGCATTTGGATTTTGTTGTTTGATGGAATTTGAGCCAAAAAAAAAACAGAAAAAAGAAAAAAAAGCAGGCTTTCCTATTTCTACAACTTGATTGTACTTATGCATTTTGTACCAGTGGAACTTTTTATACTGGAGATTAAAAAACAAATGGAAATTTTTGTGGCTTACTCTCGTGGGCCCCCTTGATCACGACTGATTTTCAGGTTTGATTTCTGGACAGTTGGAAGAGAGTTGGTTTTGTTTAGAGAATTAAAAACTTTGGCTTGATTTCTTTTTTTCCCTTTGCTTATATCTAGTGTTTAGATTTTTGTCTTAAAAAAAATCAAAAAAAAAGAACAAAAAAATACAAAAGCGGTAAGTTACACTTTTTATTCTGTATCGTGCAGTTACACAATAAGGTAATTAGAATTAGGAGTACTCGGTCACTTTGCGTGGATAAATGTATTAGTTAAAGCCGTTAGGGGTTTGCTTTTTTGCTGTTTAGATCAGAGTTTTTTCTGATTCTCCTGTCCTCATTGTGAACATAACCGTGTAGTTGAAACAAGTCAGACTTATTTTTGTAACGTATGTTATTGTGTGATGCAGTTTTTTGCTTCTGTCTCCAATATTAAACCATTTTCCTAATACTTGTCTCTCTACTTTGTGTGTCGTATCGTTGGTGGTCATTCTGTGTTGGTAATACATCTGCACACCTCACTGTTGCACGTCCCTGTTATTTTTTTCCTTTTTCTTTTTTTTTCTTTTTTTTTTCCCCCTTTTTTTCCTCTCTATTTGTTGGTTGTGTACAAAAGCTACAGTCGATTCCACCTAAGTGAATAGCTGATTGGGGAGCAAGGGAGGCTTCGTGCATTTTAGCTGCTCTCTGATTTCTTTGGTTTCTTTTTTGTTTTGTTTTGTTTCCGCTTTCTCTCGCTTTCTCTCTCTCTTTCCCACTCCCTCCCCATGCCTTATCCCTCGGATAACCCATCCGAGCGGGAAGCCTTTCGGGTGCCTGCCCTGCCGAGGAGCTGCCTCTTGGGTAGCCGGTCGGGAAAGTGCGGATTAGGGAGCTCAAGTCTTCCTAGTCCTTAAAAGAAAATGCCCAGATTCTCTGCTGCTCCTTCCCAGAAGCCTCTGAACCATGGAAGAAAAGCAGGATGTAGCCTTGGGATGCTTCCCCACCACACAGTAATCTGACAGCATATGGTGTTAGGCTCCTTGGAAACTAAATCACATCCTAACTAGGGCTATAAGAGCCAGGGAAGATAAATACATATATATATATATATGTATATATATACACACACACACACATATATAAAATATGCATATATATATATACATATATACATATATATATATATTTAAGCCACTGGCTGAGCAAGTTTGAGAAAATCCAAGTGAGCCCACAGGGAGATTTTTTTCATCTTGAAACCAGTGGAAGCTGAAAATAAAAAGTAAATTTGGGGGGAAAGAAACTCCCCCGGGTTGAAGGGGTGGGTTTAGCCATGGGGCTTGCGCAGCAGGTTGTGCCCGACGTTGGATGGAAGTGTTGCATGAACCCAGAAGGGGCAGAAGGAAGATGCCATAGCACTTTTTCTCCATTTTTTTAACAGTTAGCTTTTAGATTTTTTTAAAAAATAATTCTTATTTATATATATAATTATTTTTCTCTTACGAGACTCTCTCTGCTCTCCCCTTATCTGTGCCCACCACGGCGAAATCAAAGCTGCGAAAGGAAACACATGTCGGTCTGGTTTACAAAGTAAAGTCTCTGCAGCCTCTCTGTCCGACCCCAGGTACAGACCTTACAATTTGGAGAGGGGGAAAAAAAAACACAAAAAAATGCAACAAAAGAAACACACGTTAAAAAAGCCAAAACCAAACCAAACCCCAGGAGGAGAGAGCTTCGCTCGCGGGTGCTCTCTGGGATTCAAGCCATACGCCCCGGCCCTTGCCTTCGCCCCGCTCTCCGTGATGCTCAGGAATCAAAGCCCACTTAGAAGTGCTCTTATGAGACCCCCAGGGACCCCCCCCGCCGCCTCCTCTGTCCCTGCAGCCGCCCCGGGGCCCTGCACAAAGTCCCAGCGCCCCCAAATCCCGGCATCCCCCAACTCAGTTTCAGCCACCGCAGCAGCCCCCACCTTTGGAAGGGTCAGGACGTTTTGGGTGACTCACAAATTGGCCTATTTTTTTTCTTTTTTTCTTTTTTTTCCTTTTTTTCTCCTTTTTTTTAACCTTTTCCCCTCATTTTTTTTCCTCCTTTATTTTTTTTTCTCCGCTTTTTTTCCCCCTGCATTCCTCAACGAGCACAAAAGGCAACTGGCTGATGCCCACGAATGGTCCCCGGGCCCGTGGCCTCAGTGCCGCGCTGTGATTCGAGCAGCTCCGTGATCTGCGCCGGGAGCAGCACCGCGCGCTGGGGCTGGGCCACCCTTTGAGCTGCTGTTTCCAGTTCGGGGAACGTTTCTCCGGCTGCTGCAGTTCAGGACATCCCAATGACCCTGCAGGATTGCTCGCTGGGATTTTTTTTTTTTTTTTTTCCCAATGTTCGGGGATTTTTCCCATCCTGGCCAACTTAGGAAAGAAAACTAGAACTTCGCAGAAGGTCTTCCAAAAATACCATCCAGGGGGTGGGAGGAGGCGGGGGAAAGGCTTAATACCATAGTTGGCTTTCTTTTAACTACTCAGGGCTGAAAGATAATGGTTTCTTTTCTTATTTTTTTCTCCTGCAATTTCCACAACGGGGGCGGGGAGCAAAAATAAGCGAACCCAAACGAGCCCCTCCAAGCGGCGCAGCCGAACAGCTTGTCCCTCCCGTGGGCGCGCGCCTCGCCGGGGACACGGCCCCGCGGCGCGGGAGAATCGTTCCTGATAAGTGAATACAGCATTGTGAGCC